TGGAAGTAAATTGATGCTTTCTTTTCCTCTTAACAGTGTTCTCCATTAGCAGAAATAATTCATTATTCATTAGAACGGGACTCAAGACTAGTTAATTTCTCTTCAAAAACAGCCACTGTATAATTTAATATTTGAAAGTTCCCTTTTTTTTTTTCTTTTTCTTTTTGGAGACAGGGTCTTGCTCTGTCACCCAGGCTGGAGTACAGTGGCCCAATCATAGCTCATAGCAGACTTGAACTCCTGGGCTCAAGTCATCCTTCTGCCTCAGCCTCCTGAGTGGCTGGGACTACAGGCACTTACCACTATGCCTGGTTAATTTTTCTTATTTTTTTGTACAGAAGGGTCTCACTATGTTGCCCAGGTTGGCATTTACTACTACCATGCAATAGTAAAATCATATAAGTATATGTAACACATATTTAAATTGCTTGACTAGTTTTTTCTTAAAGGGTAGATGTCAGTGTGGAATAATAAAGACTATATATATCTGGTCTTTGACCTTAGCTCCTGACATGGAGCTCCTAAAACCCTTGAAATTTCCTGAGTATCTTTGTTATGATAATGAAGTGACTCACAGTGCGCCCAGAAAGTTTCAGGATTGAAGCTGGTCACCAGAAAGACTAATTAGAGAGTTGGAACTTTGAGCCATCCTGACCTCCAGAGAGAAGAAGGGAGCTGGAAACTAAGCTTATGCACACGGCCAAACATTCAATAAATCATGCCTATGTTATGAAACCCCAATAAAAACTCTGAACACTAAGCCTCAGTGGAGGTTTTTGGTTAATGAACACCTTGAGGTGTCCGGAAGGTGATGTTCCCTGACTCCACAGGCCGTGGCAGTTCCACATTCCTTCCCATATCTTGCCTCATGTGTCTCTTCCCTGGGCTGTTCCTGAGTTGTAGCCTTAATAAAGCTATAATTTTAAGTATAGCAGTTTCCTAAATTCTGTGAGTCATTCTAGCAAATTATTGACCCACAGGGGTCTTAGGAACCCCTAAATTTGTAGCCAAGTTGGTCAGAAAGGTGAGTGCCCTGGAGACCCTGAAGTGAGTCTGAAGGACTGAACCCTTAACTTGTGGGGTCTGCACTAACTCTAGGTGGCTAATGTCAGAACTGAATTGAAGTACACTCATTTGGTATAGAAATCAAATAGTTTATTCTTCACCCAATTACCAAAATTCTGACTAGTATTACATATTCCAAATAGGAGGCCAACTCTTTGGACATATGTGGGGGTTGAGGGAGTTAGATAGCATAAGGAAAGATAATTCTGGGTGATGAATGATGATTTTAATTATTTTACTTCTTGGGTCTTTCTGGAATTGTTAAAATATGTAGCACTGATAGATCTTTTGTATATATTTATTAAACTGCAGAACAGTAGAATGTTATTATAATGCGGGACTTCATTATCTTTCTCAAGTATTATAGGCCATTTATTTTCTTGACAGTGGCAGGAAATGAATGGGGGTTAATATCTTCCTTTGTAACATCCGTGGCATCAACAGCAATAAACAGACTCCATGATAGTAAAAAAAATCAAAATAAAAAATCCAACACTCATATTTTATAGTAAGAAGAAAGGTAATATACTGCTTACGAGATATTCCATTTTTCTAAACTTCAATATTCTTCTAGGTCAGTAGTAGATAAAACCAAAGAGAAAGTATAGAGAAGTAGAAAGTTGCAAGGAAATCAAGAAAGCACCTTCCTAGGTGCTTAACTTTTCAAATATTTTGTGACGTTCTATTTTATTATGTGCCTAAATTGTTTAGTTACTCCTAATTTTCAACCCTACATTAGAAAACCTTCCCAAATCACTTTAATTCCCTGTGTAATAGGCCACAAAAGTCAGCATGCCAAATCTAGAGCCAGCATATTCCTTGCTATATTTACCTGCCAGTTGTTTACAAACGAGGAACAGAAAGCAAATCAAACACACATATATCTTACTATAAATTTGGCTCTGGGGTTTGGTGTAATACAGATCTTCTTAAATCCAATTTCAGTCCCAAGAACAACCTAAAAGATCAGGTTTTGCTAGGACCCTCTAAACACAAAGGTCTTTCTAAGCAGGGTGGGTTTGGTTCAGGATATCCAGTGCCGCTGCGAACAGATAATAATCCAAGCCCAGCGTAAAAATAACTCCAATTTACCAAAAGGAGGCACCATCTGGAGGCATGCCGGGTACTTAAAGCCCCTACATCAGGCTGGACTGACAGCAATGAGCTTCTGCAGAAACAGGACCCACGTCTGAAGTCATCTATGTTTTTATATAGCCAATGTGAAAGGGAAAAACAAAGTGAAACAAAAATAATTCTAGCATAGTGCGAAGGAATGAAAAGTCTTTCCTAGAAATGAGCTCTATTGCTAAAGTGTCACTCTATTATGCCAGCTAGTACTTTTATCTCCTATCACTCTGGTATCTAAGTATTTAAACAACATAACCCTAATTTTTTCTGAACTTTTATTCTCAATTGTTGATATATATCCCCAAGGCATAAATGAAATTTTAAAAAATACCACTATGTATAAGAATTTAATCCCCCACCAAAAAGAAAGACCTAATTTTTTATCTTGTGATTTCACTTTCAAATTACTTCTATCCAAGTTTAAATAGCTAAAGATACCTCAGATATCCTCTCTTAAAATCTACTACCCTAAGCATAACAAATTTAATTCCTTTTAATCTTACACTAAAGAAGAGTAGGGAAGTAGGAAGTTTGTTTATTTGTTTGGGAGGGGTGTAGATATCTATTCTGGGCAGTCATGTAAAGAAATCCAACAAATGGACTGTCTCATATCCTTGTGTGAAACATTGAGGAAATAATCTAATCTCTTTTCAAATTTAGCTCCTCTTTTCCATGGGCTTTAAAAAAATATATTTACTTTGGATGCTATGTGTGTGTGTTCCTAAGAAACACTTTATTTCTTTTTTTTTCCACTGGTACAATACACAGAGCTTATTTAGATTTCATCAGCTGTACATGTACTCATTCCATGTGCTTCTGTGGTCTGAAATCATCACTTGGAGATAGCAATGGAAAAAAGCAGTGTCAGAAGACCAGGGTTCCCACTAGCTATGTGACCTTGAGTAAGCCACCTGAACCTATGAACAGAAAATAATACCTGGTCTAATATATAATAGCAAATTATTTCATTTACATAAAAATTAAATACCTGTTTTGATATTTTTATTTATTTTTTGAGACAGAGTCTCACTCTGTTGCTGGGGCTAGAATGCAGTGGTATCCTCACAGCTCACTGCAACCTCAAATTCCTGGGCTCAAGCCATCCTCCTGCCTGAGCCTCCTGAGTAGCTAGGACTACAGGCATGCGCCACCATGCCCCACTTTTTCTTTTTTTTCTTTTTTGTAGAGATGAGACCTCACTATTGCTAGTGAGGCTAGTCTTGAACCTGTAGGCTGAAGTGATCCTCCTGCCTCAATCCTCCCTCCTTGTCCTCCCAAAGTGCTAGGATTACAAGTGTGACCTACTGCACCTGGCCCCTGTTTTGATATTTTTAAAGAGCTATGGGGAAAGATTCTTCTTGTCATTGTTTTCACAGGAAGCCTGGCAGTAAAGAGCACACAGCCTTTACAGTCAGGAGTCCTATGTTTCTTGAATTCCAGCTCTGTTGTTTGTTAGTTGTATTACCCTAGGACCCTAGTCAAGTTACTTAATCTCCTTGCCTTCAATTATCCTGTACACTTGAGACAATTCCCACCTCAGAGGATTGTTGTAAGGATGAAATGAGGTAATTATTAATAAATAAGCATTTATCTAACATATACTTATCTGGCAACCATTCTGCTTAGTGTAAAAAGTTAAAAGTTCCTCTGCTCACTGCATAAGTGCCATACACTGCTAGCCTCCAGGGCTTAAAAGACTACAATACATTATGGAGAGAAAATACTAAAGTTTATACCTATATATCTTCTTGGAACCAATTATAGGAATCTGACATGTTTTTGTGAGCTTACAAATGAATTTGTCAGACTGAATCTAAGTACAAAATATCAGGTCTGGATTCAGAAGATAATTCTTAACTAATAGAAAACACATTTCGAGTCTGCCTGTTTACCACAGCCAGTCTGACTGGCTACACACAAGAAAGTCACAAATGAGACAAAGAGCTGATGTGACAGCATATGCCACACACAACATTAACTAATATAAGACCTAGCATAAGGTAAGTGCTCATAAATATTAGTTGAAAGAATTGAGTTTGGGTACCAACGGTGCCATTTCCGCAAGTGACTCTTAGTTTAACTTCTCTGGACCTTACTTTTTGGTAAAATAGAAATGTGTCTGCTCTACCTATCTTGTAAGATACTTGTGATCAAATGAAATCACAGGAGATGTATTTAATGCTAGTAAAACGGTAATTTATGAAACACTTAATGCCTACCGCCACCAAATAGCCTACGAGACTAACGGTAGGGATAAGATATTAATATGTAACCACTAGGAAAGAAACAGCATCGGAATCTAGTGAAAAAACTGAACATGTTTTCTAAAAATGTCATCTTCCTTGTGATGAAAGGTGCTGGTCATTCCTAATCAGGTGCTGTGCCTTTTCTAACTCCCAGGTTACAACAGCAGGCTCCGCTGAGTGGCATTTTGCAAGACTCAGACCCCCAGTAAACGCTGGCAGCGGTGAGGATCGGCTCCGGGGCTCAGTAGGTTAGAAGCAGCGGACCCTTCAGTCCTGGCCCTGACAAGCACTACAGGTAAGGCTCCTTTGTAGTTAGCCGAGCTACAGAAGGAGAGTTTGCAGCCACCTCCACCTTCCACTGGGTAAAGGGACTACCCCGCCACCTCACCCCGGCCAGACAGAGCGCGCTCTAGACGCCAGCCTAGTCTCTCGCCCGCAGCCTCGCCACACGCCCCGGCTCCGCGCATCTCCCGCCAAGCCCCGCGCCCTCAGTTCCTGCCTCCCGGCACGTACACAGAGCGCTAAGAGGCGCGGGGCACGCGGCCTGGGCTGGCTACTTACTGATAGCCGGAGGACGCCTGCGTTCGAGCAGGCCGGGCCTCCCAGCACTGCCGCTCTCGGGGCTCCTGGGACTCGACTTTCGTCCGAGCCCCAGCCACAGAGACCGTAGCCTTTCTGGGAACTGCGGAGCGAGGAGGATGAGCCCGGGACAGGACGACCGTTTGGACCCGCCCCCGAGCCCTCCTCGACTCTGTCTCCCGCAGGCTGAGAGGCGGGGACCGAGGGAAGCGGCGGAGGACACAGAGCCCCGCCCCTTACCCTGTTTCGCCGTGTGCTGCCGGGCCTCCCACGAAACCCCTCCTCTGGCCTCGGGACGCTCCGCCCACTTCTGGCCGCCAGCTGCGCACGCGCACTTGCAGGCCTATTTTGACAACTTCACGGCGCTCGAGATGGGAGGGACCAGGTGTCGCGAGAGTTGGCCGCACGGCGTCTTGTCGGGGCTGTAATTACAGCCAGCCTGGGGATGGAGGCTGAACAAGAGCCACTTTTAGGCAACCGCACATGCGGAAGCAGGTGAGCAGATAGTGGTGAAAGGACACTTCATGGTTCTGCGCTGTTGAGACTGACTCTCTTCCGGGCGTCAGGCGCACTACGCCCAACCCTGACTGCCAGAGGGGTGCCAGGGCGGCGGGAGCCGGCGCCCGGTCGTGTGAGCCCGGGAGATTCACCCCCAGCTGTGGGGAAAGGGCGTCCGGTGGTGCGGTGCGTAGAGCCGGTTGGTTCGGGTGATGGTGCTGGAGAAACCCAAGCTGCCTCTTAAACTTTCTGTGCAACAATGTTGGAGGAGCCGAGCCACTGCATTCTGTATCAACTATAGCTGATCACTTTCCACATTTCACAAAAGTTTCGAAATGATTATTTTAATCAATACTTGGAGATACCAGTCTTAGTATTTTCCTACCTGATTGCCTGATAACTTCTTGATACTTTGTAAATAAACCTGTCTGAAATGGGCTCACCTTTATCCTATGCCAAATGTACAAATGAAGACTAATTTTTAAGCATTTAAGGAATAATATTTCAGTATTTTGATCCTTATAATTCTGGTTATTTTGATCCTAGTTTATGGACAGTGATTCAGAAATGTTTACACTTTGTCTCAGTACAAAATTAAGTATGTATTTTTGCCTTTAGGAAAACAGAATTAAGTATTATTTTACTTGAAACATATAATAATTTTATCAAGCAGATTAATAATCCATAGTTAAATTTCAACTGTCCACGACCATGTTAATTTTTACCCTCTTAAGCACCAAATCATTATTTTAACCACTTTGATTTCAAACCCTTTGGAAAATGTATTTCTCTGGTCCCTGATTTACTAAACAGAATGTATAGAATGAAATTTTGTCTTGATTTTATCTTGAGATCATTAAAATGAATATCAATACTGAAATATATTTTAATAGAGTGATGTCCTCAGGGCGTGTTGAGGCATTTGGGACTACTTGCTTCTGTACTAATTTATTCTACACTGCTATACTTTTTAAGTATTTATGTCTGCTTTTTAGTTTTTTTGCCTATTCTGTTCCTGGCAGACTTTTTGTTGCTGTTTTTGTTGCTTGCAGCATACTGTCTTCACTCAGTTTTATTTTAGGGCTTCTAATTTGCTATGGCTATTTTTTTTTTCTTGCAAATCACCTAAGATTCATAGTTTGCTGTGGCTTTGTTTGAAAACCACCTATCTATGCTTAGTAAAATTGTGTGTACTTAAAACATGGAGGTTCTGACAGAGCTAAAGATCTCTCCTGTTAGTCAAGTGCATACACTTGAATTCATAGACTTTGTGACACTTGGTTTTCTCATAATTCTTTTTCTTATTCCTGGTTATTAGTTGTTTTTCAGACGGGTGGCAGGATCTTTGAGTTCTGGTGGTTTTATGGTACATTCTGTCACCCTGTCCAAAAGGGTGATTGCTCTTAGCTTTGATTTCATCTAAGTGATTGATGATCATTAGGGTCTATCTAAATTCAGATGTTCCTGTTCATAACCAATAACTCTGATTGAGGTTCTGTATTTAGCATTTTAAAAACAAAAAGGGAATATTTTGAAAATAATTCCATAAGTATATGTCTTCAAAAACATAATTGTACTTATGTACAAGTAATTGGCAGGCCCTGTTCACTTTGAGTATATTGCGCAAACATGAGTCTAGCTCACCACCAACCCTTCCTCACTAACAAGGTTGGTTATAATTTGTTGGTCTCATGGGACTGGGTTCCTCTTAAGGCATCAGCACTTACCACTGACTCCCTCTTTAAAGCTTTATTTAAGAGAACAGGGGTTGGCAAACATTTTCTGTAATGGCCCACATTGTAAATGTTTTAGGTTTGTTCAGGCTAAGAGGCATAATCAAGGATGTTATACAGATAATTTAGATAATAAGAAAACAAATGCCACAAAACTTTTAGTAATGAGATGTAAACTATAATACTAAATGAGAACAATATAGGTCTATTAATGAGAAGGATAGAATTTTGGAGGGAATGACATTTTCCTTAATTGGAGTTCAAAGTTCATGTTTTCTGTCATCAAATTGATAACAAATATGCATCTGTATAAACCATTCTTAGCTCACAGAACATACAGAAACAGGCGGTGGTCTGGATTTGGCCTGTAGGCTATAGTTTGCTAACCCAGTGTTACTTACCAGTGCTTTCAAATTTTCTTTGCAACTTTAGCTTAGTCTCTGTAAAACAAATATTACTAGAGCTTCTGTCCTTATGGAGAATATATTTATAAAATATTTTCAGTTTATTTCTGTCTTCTTACTTCTATAGTTGTTATATCATTACACTGTTCTGTCAGTGAGCAAACACTTCTTTCTCTTGTCTTCTTTCAATATGGATTGTTTTTTGCTCAATAGTTCACAGATGCTGTCTTTGGTAAAAGTGTCATTTTATTTTTCCCCTTAGTAAACCCAGAGTTGTTTTTTGCAAATATAGCACTGCTACCTACCCAAGTCTCCTTGCACTGGATCTTGTCTTGTACTAGATCTGTTGAACCTAAATATGGCACTTTTTAATTTATTCCTGCAAAATTTTATGTATCTTATTTTGGTGATTAGTTCACTCTGGTATATTGTGTATGCCTCCTACTTTTTAAGTCACTTACAGGTTTGATAAACATGCTATCATTTGGGGTATTTCAGTTTGGGGTGTTTTACTTGGGCAATAATGTTGAGCAATATAAAACCCTGTAGCACTACAGTTCTACTTGAAGGAGGATCTCAGATGGGAAACTAATAGAATACAGCAGTGAAAATAGAAAGGAATCAAAAAAGTAAAACAAATTACCTTGGAAGTGCAGCATTCCTTTTTTATACCCAGGTGATCAAGGAAGAAGCCTATGGAACTTCAGTCTTAGCCATATGACATATTTGAATCATCGAAGTTAAGAAAATGTAATAAATGTGTTAACTTTTTTGAAGGATAATTATATTCTCCTGTGTTTCTATTCTCTCCAACAAGGAAGAAAGATAAATTTCTTCACTAAAATTATACTTTTTGAATTAAAAAGGAAGAAATACAATTTTTTATTTTGAAAAATTTCAAATCCATAGAAAAGTTGAAAAAACAGTGCAATGAACACCTGTATATCCTGTCACTGTTAACTTTTTCCACACTGCTCAAATCTCCTTCTATACACACATGCACCCCACATATTCCCACACCTATTTTGCCAAGCTACCCAAAAGGAGATTGTAGACATTGTGACATTTAACCCAAGTACTTTATTGTAGTCTCCATCTCCTAAGAACAAAGAAATTCTTTTACACAACCCCATCACTGTTACTACAAATAGAAATACAATACTAATTCAAGAATATAATGCAACATATAGTTTATACCTAAGTTTTTCCAATTGTTCCAA